CATAATTCCCTTCTGTATATTATTAGAAATAGTTAAGATAATAAATTTTATTTTCTAAATTACCCGTTCTCTTTCAGTATCCGTTATTTCTTGTTCCAACATTTGAAATATCTAAGTAATTTGAAACTTATTTTTGCTATTTAAATTTCATATTCATGTATCATACCCGTCATTTGATATGTGGAAGTTGAAATTGAATTTAAGTTTCCAATTTTTTTATATCGTCTTCTTTTTTATGAGAAATAGTTTAGACAAATATCTTTTTTGAATTACCCGTTTCCTTTTTGTACCCATTCTTTTCCCTCTAAAATAAGACCATATATTTCTTTTATATAAATGGGGTTGTTAGAATAAAACCATTAAACTAAATTAAAAAATGAGAATTTGTTAGAAATACCCCTTTTGAGCTCTTAAAAAGTTAAATATGTTTTTTTTTTGTGGAAGAGGGGAGACCAGGGTCTCCCTACTTTATTAAAAAATAAAATAACAAACTACAACCGAACATGTCGGGGAAGCGAAGTCCCACAAGCATCCTCATCCAAAGTAAAAGCAATACAATCCGGACAATGATCTAAAAACCGAAAACCTAAAGGAAGAGAAAACGCATAGTTCGCCAATCCATCCACAAGACGATTAGCCTCCCTATACACATGAGAAATTTGGACTTTCCAGTCCTTTGAGAGTAAGCCATAGCACAGTCGTACTAGGAAAGACAGGGGGTGAGTATCACTAATCCCTGTCGTGAGAAATCCAACCACCGCCTCGGAATCCACCTCCAACTCCAAACGCGGTATTCTCCGCTCCCACGCAATATAGAGACCATAGTATACTCCCCATAATTCTGCAAGCGGAGCCGAACAAAAGCCAATATTAAACGTAAACCCATGAATCCAGCGGCCCTCACCATCTCGTAAAACTCCCCCTGCGGTAGCTAACCCCGGGTTGCCTCGAGATGCTCCGTCCGTGTTCAGTTTCACCCAACCGTCCATCGGTTTCCCCCAAGCAATCTGTTTTTCCACCCTTATGGGCAAAGGTTGTCTCGCACACATCTCCGAATGGCACACCATACTCGCTTGATCTTTCACAAACTTAACCCGATCCCGACACATCCATAAATCCCCAAAAACGTTTCCACACCGCCATTTCCAAGCCCACCAAATCACCATTCCAAACAAGGTCGCCCAAGGGACCCCAAACCGCACAGCGACACTCCCTGTATTATCATATACCCATTTGAACAACGACTGACTATAAAAACCAACTCTTTGTCCCGGTAAAAGAATATGATTCCAAACGCCCTCAATTGCCGGACAATCCCTTAACACGTGCAAAATTGTTTCCTCTTCTCCTTTACACACTTGACACACACTTGAATCACTAAGGTGCCTTCTTTGTCTTTCCCAATTTGTCATTATCACTTGATGAACGACCAGCCAAATGAAGACTCTAACTCGCTCTGGTACCCGCAGACGCCATATCCTTCCGAAGAATCCTTCCATGTTCGGTTTCGGCACAGAATCACTGGACAAATAAGAGTAAGCCGACTTCACCGAGAACCCAGAACTCTCACTCCAAGCCACCCTATCCTTCGCACCAGTAACAGAATCAACCACCACCGCCAAGAGACGGAGCTTATCGAGATTGGAGATAAACGGCTCAATGCGCTGCCAATCCCAACCTACCCCGTCAATCCAAAAATCCTGAACAATCCTGTTTTCATCATCCGACGGAACATCCCTTATATTGCACTTCACTAAAGGTTGTGTCCCAAGCCAATGATCCGTCCAAAACTTGATTGACAGACCATCTCCTAGCACCCATTTCAAACCCGGAAACACTACATCCCGAAGACCTTTCCCCACACTTCTCCATGTCGAAGACCAGTTACTCTTCGCCCTTGTCCAGCTCTGGTCCTGATAATTTCCTATCTTATACTTGCTACGAACAACTCGTGCCCACAGACTCGTATTATCCTGAACGACCCTCCAACCAATCTTACTAATAAGAGCTTGATTCATAGGCTCTGCAGCCCTAACACCCAATCCGCCAAACTCTTTGGGGCAACAAAGCTTCTCCTACGACACCAAATGCTGTTTTCTATGTTCAGTAGTACTTCCCCACAGAAAATTCCGAGAGACCCTATCCAATCCAGCCAAAGTCGACTTCGGGAGCAATATAGTGCTCATAGTATGAACTGGAATAAAAGTAAAGACTGATTTCGTCAACGTTATCCTCCCAGCAAGGCTCATCGTACGACCTTTCCAGCCCGCTAGCCTGGAAGATACTCGCTCCAACACTGCCCCAAACGTATTCTTGTTAATCCGTTTATGAAGAATAGGCATGCCAAGATATTTACCAAGATCTCTCGTCCCCGCAATGCCACTCTCCTCACTTATCAACTTTCGTAAATCCCGGTGAACATTGTCTGAGAAAAAGATTTTGGATTTCTCAAGACTGACTTTCTGCCCCGAGGCCACACAAAACTTTTCCAACACTCCTCTTACCACCTTAACTTGAGCAACCGAAGCTTCTGCAAATAAGATAAGGTCATCCGCAAAACAAATATGAGACAACTTCGGACCGCCTCTTGATAAGCTAATGGGCTTCCACTGCTTTAAATCAATGGACCTCTCAATTAAATGACACAGTCTCTCCATGCAAAGCACAAACAGGTAAGGTGACAGTGGGTCTCCTTGGCGGATTCCCCTCGCTGGTCGGAACGCTTCCGTCTTCTCACCATTCCATAAAACGTGCATAGATGGACCTGTCACGCAAGACATAATCCATTGGACCCAATTATCCGAGAGTCGTGCAGCTCTCAAAGAATCTTCAAGAAAATCCCATCGTATTCTGTCGTATGCCTTTTCCAAATCCAACTTAAGCAGCATCCAACCTTTTTTCCCTTTCTTACGACGCATGGAGTGCACGGCTTCTTGAACCACCACAATGTTGTCAGTGCTTAGTCTCCCCGAAATGAAGCTCGATTGTGCTGGGCTTATCAACATTGGCATAATTTCCTTCAACCTCATCACCATAGTCTTTGTTATTGTCTTAAACAAAACGTTACAAAGACTAATGGGCCAAAATTGAGCCACCCTTTCCGGTTTGGCCACCTTAGCAATAAGAACGACTAAAGCATCATTCATCTTCTCAGGTAGCACCCCAGTCTCGAAGAACTTCAAAGCAAATGACACCACAGAAGTTCCAACGACATCCCAGCACTCTTGGTAAAAAACCGGTTGAAACCCGTCTGGACCTGGAGCCTTGTATTTACCCATACTTCTTACTGCTCCTTCAATCTCATGCCCCGAGAACGGCTTCGCGAGCAAAGCCACATGCTCATGCGAAAGATGCGTAAAACCATCCAAAGGAAGCTTCGGAACACTCTGGTCTACATCTTCCATCGAGTACAACCGCTTGTAGTAACTAACGGCTATCTCTTCCAGTTTTATAGTATCCGATATCCATCTCCCATCGTCACCTCTTAACATCTCAATACGGTTACATATGTAAATCTTCGAATTTAATTGTCCACTTTTTTGGCAACAAAATTAATATGATTTCCATAAATATATAGATAGTTGCTGTTTTTATTATTTGTTTATTAAAAAAAATTTTGATGTCTTTAATTCTATTCGGCAAAAGGTATAATTTTTATGAATTTTTTTATAATAATGAGGTCTGTTTGGAAACACTTTGTCCTTCCCAATTAATAGATTAATAGTATAGATAGAGATATGCATTTGAGATGGTCTTATACTGTATTAAAGATCGGCATGATATGTATTAAAGATCAGCATGATATCTAGACATGACCAAAATCTAACTTTAACCGTATTTCTAACTGTAACCGGACCATTTTTCAATCGTAACCTTATAAAACGGTTGAAAACTATAACTGTTAACCGTACAAATAAATCAGTCACGGTTATAAAAAAATATTAACTGTAATCGTTATCAATCGTAACCGTATAAAATCGTTGGTTAACCGTACGGTTAAACCTTTACTAAAAAATATTTCATTAAAAAAATATTTTAAATGATTAAATGTGTAAACTAGTAACTCTAATCTACTCCCCTACTCATTTCCATTAATCAAATAAAAAATGATTTAATTTAAATATTTGTAGGTTCATTTATTTATATATCTATAGTTGTGTTTGATTAAACAAAAATCATTTCTGTAACAAATATACTATAAATATTTGAATCATATAATTACATATATTTCATATTGTAAATAAACATTATCTGATATGGTAAGAAAATATAAAAAGTTTCTTATAATATTATTATTATTATTATATCATAATTATTATATCATAATTATTATATCATAATTATCAAATAATCCTAACCGTATATAACCGTAACCGTATATATAAAAGTTAAGGTTATAGTTAAAGAAAAATATAACCGAAAGCGGTGGTTAATAAAGGGTAACCGTGGTCATGCCTAATGATATCATGATTGTAAATGAAAAGAAAAATTTCTATAAAATACATAGTTAATCTAATATTTAGTTAAAAATATAAACTGGGTTTATTGTTACAAAAATGCATACACTAATTTTCAATTGATGAAAATATTACGAACTAAATTACGCAATTTTTGGGAAATCAGAAAAAATTTGTGATTTTTCATCAACGGTTAGCTTTGACAGAAAAGAAAAAAAAAAAGAGGTCCCTGCTCGATCCGGGGCAAGGTTTGCTTGCTTCCCTCTTCCTCCCCCATCCATAACTCAAATCGCTGGGAATGCAACGGGATGGTCGGATGGATGTCAACTGGTAAGAGACGTGAATCATGTGATGTGCCTAAAAATTCTTGACGAAAGAGGAGAAAAAAAAAAGTTTTTAATCTTCAGTGAAAAAAACCTAAAGTTTCTAAAAACAGTTGAGATATTCTCTGTACCCAAAATAACCTTGCCCGGACATCCACGAAACTAAAAGGGATACTTTCGTCATTCTCAAACAATAGCCATTGCTGCAAAAAAGCTTCACCGTCCACGAGCCTCCCTCTCTCTCTCTCTCCGAGTTTTCATTTTTAAAGACGGAGAAAAAGCCAGCTTCTTTTTTTCGGGTTCTCTGCTCTGTTCCTGCAAGAATCTTTATAAACCCTTCTCTCACTCTCTCTCTCTCTCCGAGTCTCAGTCTTATCTCTTTCTCATTCCAAACCTTGAAAGAGCTAAAACTCTGTAGATGGCCTTCGAGTTACCAAACGACTTCAGGTGCCCGATCTCTCTTGAGATTATGTCCGACCCGGTCATCCTCCAATCGGGTCATACTTTCGATCGGGTCTCAATCGAACGGTGGATTGACTCCGGCAATCGAACTTGCCCAATCACTAAGCTCCCGTTATCTGAAAACCCTTCTCTGATTCCTAATCACGCACTTCGGAGCTTAATTTCAAACTTTGCTCATGTGAGTCCTAAGGAATCATCACGTCCTCGGGCTCAGCAAGAACACTCTCAGTCTCAATCCCAAGCTTTAATCTCCACCCTCGTCTCTCGATCGTCGTCTAATGCATCAAAGCTCGAGTCTTTGAGCCGCCTTGTTCGTCTCACGAAGCGAGACTCGTTAATCCGGAGGAAAGTTACTGAATCAGGCGCGGTTCGTGCGGCTTTGGATTGTGTTGACTCTGGTAATCATGTTTTACAGGAAAAGTCTCTGTCTTTGCTATTGAATCTTAGTTTAGAAGATGATAACAAAGTGGGTTTAGTTGCTGATGGAGTGATAAGACGGATAGTGGCTGTTTTACGGGAAGGGTCACCGGATTGTAAAGCCATTGCTGCAACACTGTTAACGAGTTTAGCTGTTGTGGAAGTGAACAAAGCCACTATTGGATCGTATCCTGATGCAATCTCTGCTCTTGTTTCTCTTCTCCGGTTAGGGAATGATAGGGAGAGAAAGGAATCTGCCACGGCGCTTTACGCTCTATGTTTGTTTCAGGATAATCGAAAACGGGTTGTGGATTGTGGGTCGGTGCCTATTTTGGTTGAAGCTGCTGATTCAGGGCTAGAGAGAGCAGTGGAAGTGTTGGGACTTTTGGTTAAGTGTAGAGGAGGGAGAGAAGAAATGAGCAAAGTAAGTGGCTTTGTTGAGGTTTTGGTTAACGTTTTGAGAAATGGGAGTTTGAAAGGGATTCAGTATTCTCTGTTTATACTCAATTGCTTGTGTTATTGTAGTCGAGAAATCGTGGATAAGGTTATGAGAGAAGGAGTTGTAGAGATATGCTTTGGTTTGGAAGATAATGAGAGTGAGAAAATCAGGAGGAATGCTGCTAACTTAGTCCATACTTTACATGGAAATCCAATGAATTCATGATTTTGGGAGTGTGATTTGGTGCTGAAAATGGAAGTTTAAAAGATCGGTTTCTGTTATTCGGTGGCGGTTTTGGGGATTATAGTTGTCTGGTTTTGGTTATCTAATCTGGATATGGAGGTAAGTTTGGGTTCTCTACGTTGGATTTTCCACTTGTAGTTCATGTACAAAAAGAAAGGAAGAACAAAACAAAGGATTAAGTTTTTCAACAAAGCAAAATGCAAAGGCTTTTCAGTTTTTTTTGTGTTTGTCTGTACATTAAAGAAATAAAAGGATCATACATAGTAGTTTACTTCATGTGCTTCAAAATGTTCATCATCAATAGAATTGTAATCTTTTTCTTTGTTTCGATCATCGAGCATTTCATTTTCAAGGCCGTTTAGTCTATTCTCTGTTGAATCATCTTGAATCGTCAAGCGACTTAACATTTTTTCCATGATTTTACATGGAAAGCATTAGTAGTAGCACTTTGGTTGGTTATAAATCCACTCAATATGTACATATACTGTGTGCTAGTTGAACAACTGTGTTGGTAGATGCAGAAACAGTAAGAAACATTGTTTCTTCAAGTCGATCAAGAACAGTAAGAATTTGATTGATCTAGTGTTGGCTTAAAGCATTCATGGATCCAAGAAAATAAAAATTCCCGGATCTTTTTTTTTTTGCTTTATTCTCCAAAGAACTGTGATGATTCCAAAAGACAAACCTGTCATTTTTACTACAACGGTCACTGGGACAAACCAGTCACTGTACTTTATGATTCCATGTCTACTCGAATTAGGTTTTGTTTTTTGTTTTTTATTAACAGTTCAATTGTGGCGTGCTGGTAACAAAAGCATATGGTCTCTGTTTAACTCGCCACAATGATTTGATTTAATTATCCTTCAAAAAAAAAAGATGGGTTATGTTATTTTTTTCTGACTCGTGCTTTTTTTATTTCGAAAACAGTGCTGAGATACACTGCTTTATGTTTCTTATTCAATCATATGCCTTGATTTGAGGACACAAAACAAAACAAAACAAAATAAAACAGAGTCGTGTCCTTTGAGGGCCATGAAACGGAGCTGCTTTATTTAAAGTGATTGTTTTTCTAATAAGAGATCTCCTTAATTGAGATATTAATTACCTAATTTATAGTTGACAAAAAACGTCATCCAATTTGTCTTCACAATCTTCTTAATCTTTGTAGGATTCTGACTGTGACTAGTATTATTATTACAGTGCGTAGAAAGGAAATTTAAGACCACAATATTTTGTTTGTCTTTTGATATGACCAAATAAGTGAACATAAATACTATGCCATAAATTTGTATGATTAGTACGTAAAAGCAGCAAATATCACAAAATTATTTACATTATCACATTTTATAAACAAACAAACATCGAACTTATAACAGTTCTTGATTAGAACAATGCTTATCTATGTGACTATGTGTTGATGTGTATTGTTACATTTTTGTTTCATTATAACTGTCTAATTCCAGAAGCTAGATGTGTCCAAATGCTGAGGAGAGGTGGAGAAAGTACTTGAGATCGGCATGAGATTTGACCGCGGCTTCGAAGGTCTTGTCTTGGACGACAATCTTGATCCTGATGAGTATTATTACTTGATTTGTCTGACCACTAGAATTGAAAGAATCTTATTATGATCATAAGCAAAAGAACAAAACTCAAACTACTTATTTGATTTTGGATTATAGAGTATTAGAGTTGTTTAATCGTAAACTAACTCAAGTACCTGCTGCTGTTCACCAGATCCTCTAGAGTGTTGATCACTCGAGACCTTTTCCTATATTAAATGATTATATATAATGTAAGAATTAATTAAAATTACAAGTTAACTAATTAAACTCAGCAATTAGTAATATTTTATACATGTGAGAACTTACAGTGATTTGTTCTTGAAGAAATTTGATGTACTCTACAGCATCATGGAGCACAGAAGCAGTGTCTGTCTGCAAAAATCATCAGAAAATAATATATAAATTAGTTTTAAAAGGGAAGTAATAAAAATTTCCTAATTAAGTATGGCTAATTAGTTGAAATAATAAATAATATAACAGATCATGAAGAACACAAACCTTCCCAAAGGGTGAAACTAACTGCTGAAGAGCAGTGATTCGATCTCCGAGTTTCTCTTTACGAAACTTAGCAATCAAAACAGTTTGATGAAATTAGAAATAGTTTTTGGCCAAAAAAGAGAAATAGTTTTGTGCATGGATATGGTTTTTTTTTTTGTGTGTGCATAAATAGTCTTTTTAAGTGAAAATTTATGAAAAGTGAAGTAAGATATTTGATATTTATTACTAACTTTGAAGCTCGGAAAATGAGATGGTGTCTCAAGTCTTGGCCTTTTTAATGGCTGTGATGACTCAACATCTTTGTGTTCTTCAGTTTTCTCACTTGCTCTCTAAAAATAAATGGTCATAACAACATCAAAATCTACCGACAGGATGTTGTATGAAATTATATAACATAAGAAACTAAATTGATTTATACGTACCTTGCAAGAAATCAGATTCTTGCATGCTGGCATGTCGTCCTTGGGTTTGTTTTTGCTCTCGTGATCAAAGATTGATACCATTCTTGAATCGTTGAAAACGTCATCAAAGAAGTGAAAGTTATCAAATGCTTCTGGTTTTGGGCAGTTAGGAACCAATACTTGCTCATTTAAATCAAACAATCCTTCTAGAAAACTATTTATTGGATTGAATCTTTCTTCTTCATGGCTGGAAAGGATGATAAGAAAAGAAGGTTAGGAATCAACTATCAAGAACATGATTTTACGTACGTCACATAGGATATACATGGACTTACAGGTTAGATTGATTCGAGACGTAGGTTTGTGAGGTGGAATCGAAATTTTCATTGCCTAAGAATGTGGAAGTATTAAGATAGTTCTCATTGTAGGTTTTGGCATCGAGGGTATCAATGTTTTGCCATTCGAATATGCCGTTGTCGATGACAATCTCCGTGGAACGTGGTAGATAACAGCCGGGGAACATGTTGTTGGAGGAGCTCCACCATGGTCCGGTACAAACTCCCGCGGTTTCAAATTCTTCCGTCATGTCTTGTTAGCTACGTAAGCTGTTTTGGGTTTAGAATTGTGTAATGATTTTTTTTTTTCCTTTAGAAATGTTGGAGTTTGCATGAGACAATGAAGTTAATGATGGTGTTATTTATATGTGGTGATGAGATTTAAGTCAACAACAAAGTTATGATATTTCTCTTTAAAATAGAAGAAGTCGCAAGAATTTTTAATTTTATCGATCGGTATTTAATTGCCCTAAATAATCTATTAATTACTTGATAATTATGGGACAAAAATAAAGTATGTTATCAGAGTAGTCGATAAGAAGTTAGGTCATGAAGAAATTAGGTTAAAAGATGCCATTTATAGTTATGCTTTACTAATTAATAAAATAAAAGAACATAATACTACATGTAATTTTGTGACCCTATTTTCTCAAACAGTATAAAATCAAAGTTACTAATTAAATCACAAAGAACTACTAAGTTGGAGGTATTTGAAACTAATATATGTTTGATATGTTGAAGTGGTTTATGTTGTATTAAGGTAAAATAAAGGTTAACAAATTTGATTCCAAGTAAAAATTGTATATTTTGTAGTGACTCATCGTACAAATATGGTATTTATTTCAAACTTTATAGAAAACGCATGCATCATATAGTACTAGCTAACTACTGTTTTAGGTGTTTATTGATTATATATATTTAAAGAGTCTCTTCATTTATTTGTACCATGAATATTAACAAAAATGACGTCACCTTTTTGCATATATCAGATCAATAATATATTACTGTATATTTTTGTAGTCCACGTTTATATTGTATTTATTTTTGGGGTGTTCGATGAATACGTACAAAGAAAAAGAAAGGTCAACGTTACCAAATCCATCGCAAACAAGAGGGTAGTTGGCTTGGCTGGCTTCGTTTATTCCTTTATACGACCAGTCGTACCGGACATATTTTGTATACACGTACGTTTGTGCGCATACGTGTCGACTCATTTACCCCTTTTAACATAAATAAGATAACACCTCAAACAAATGTGTGGATTTATCTGAATTTGATAGACATTTATTCAAAATACAACTATTTTTGCAAATTAATAGTTTGGACGTACGTTAACCATATATATGTATGTACCACATCATATGGTCTTCCATGCTAATCCAAAACAACAAGAAATGGAGTTTATATTTCTATGAGATTACATAGATAAACATGATTAAAATGAATTATATATACTGTTAATATTCCGTTACGAACGCTAACAAACAATTATGTGTATATAATTATATATATACATGGATTAAGTCATACCGTCCACTCCAATCCACTAACAGACATTGTTATTTTAGGTTTGAAATGATCTTCTCTTTTTATTTTCAGAAAGATATCCAAAAATATTTGCTCATGTCATATAGTTTGACTCAACAAATTATTTTTATATTTTTAGTCAACATATACTTATATGATATATTAACATTTGTAAGCTTCTAGTGACTTAGGTTATACAACGACTTCAATATAAAGAATTTAACCAACTAAATTATTAGTTAATCAAACCTTTACTGAATTTTGTCATTATACTAATCAAATTTTAACTTCGTCTTCATTCATACCATTTGAGTTCAACATAACCAACATTCTTAAGATCTGTATTGTTAATTTTAATTTAAGTTAGTTAGTTAATGTGTGGGACTATTATATTAGTCTTCTGATCTTGGCTTTATTGAATAATTTTTTTTTTCATGTTTTAAAATAATCACATAGATATCAATTTCCAACATGATTTCCAACCAAAATGAACATCACTGGGGTAACTGAAATAAAATTGGGTAAACTTAAGAATTGGCCCATTAAAGAGCTTATCCAAAGAATTGGCCCATTTATGTCAGCCACGCCGGCTTCGGATCGTGCCACGAGTCGGACCCTAAAGATCAATATTATCTAGCGTTTTCTTTCTTTCACCTCAACAAATTGCCGAATTTACTTTTTCACCTCATCTTTTGTAATTACTCTCAAAACCCCCACAGATTTTGCTCACTTATGATTCACCTTCCAATCAAATTTCAGACTCTCTTAGTTGAATTCCAGATTTAGATCCATCAAACCTAAATAACATTCTTGGTGATCATTATAAAAAGTTTAGAGCCTAAACCAATCTCTGTTTTCTCACTATAATCACATGAAAAACTGAACCCTCTCTATCAGCCAGAAGTTCAAATAATACTGAACAACAAAAAAACTCTCTTGAACATTTTGCAGAAACATATATGGAGACAAGAAGAATCTCACTGGTTTTTAATTTGTAACAGTAACTCTGTTTCATCTGAATCAAAACATATTCTTCAATTGGAACAACAATAAATGTAAATAAGATCAATGAAAATCTTATTGGAACCATAAATTTCCAAAGATGTAAAAAAACTTTATGGATCGCTTCTCATAACTTCCAAAAGAAAATTTCTAGTCTGTTCAATATCACAGTGTTCCTCATGTATCTGAACTGAGGAACTAATCAGAATTGCTCCACTCGATGTTGTCAGACTGATGTCGATGATCTCGAATCCGAGAAACCTCATAACCTCCATGAATTTTGTAAAGATCCCAGCTCTCTTCTCTGTTATGATCTTTAACCAAAACTTCCTCTCCCCAATCTTACACAACTGCACATTCTCCTGTTCAAGTTATAAAAAAATTCATCTAGAAAAGATTAATAACATAACCTATCAAGAGTCTATTAAGAGGACATTAATTTAAAACCTCGATATGAAGCTTCTTCATCTCTTCTTTTAGATGAAATATTGTTTCAACTTCAGGTTTAATCATCTGATCAGTTTGTTCTTCATCAATCTCAGGAGGAGCTTCTTCCATTTCAAAAAGCTTCTCTGAAAGATTCTGAACATTCTTCTGAAGCTCTCTGATGTAAGTAATCGCATCTTCAACAATACTAGCTTTAGTCATCTGAACACAACAACAACAATTCATCACCATAATACACAAACACACACAATTAAAAAACAAATAAAGCAAAAGTTAGAGATCTAGGACTTACGTTGGTGACAATTGGCACATGAGATCTTAGAGCCATAAGCCGAGCATGTAGCTTCTGTCTTCTACGTCTCTCTGCTTCAAGATTTGGAGATTTGAAACTCTCGTCTTCTTCCTTATCCCCTTTCGTTACTTGTCTCCTACGGTTCATCCTGACTGGTTCTTCAAATATGCTTCCTCCACCCATTTATGTATCTTCTTCTTCTTCTCCTCTGATAATATTTTTATTCAGACAAAAGTGTTTTTTTCTTTCTTGTGTTATGTAATGGTGGTGAAAGACATGATTTATATAGTTGTTTCTCATGTAGAGAGAAGTCTGTTAGTGGAGAGAGAGAGAAGAGAAGAGAGAGAGAATCTCAGTCTACGTTTGTTACATTATGGATGTGGTTTCAGTTAGAGTCAAACATAGATAACGAAATTACAATATACATTATATGTTTTTGTTTTCATTATGATATGGAAAAAGAGAAGAAAAACAAAGAAAAACAATTTATGACGAATTGAGGAATCTTTGTTATTCAAGGGTTCAAAACACGAGTTCTCACAGACAAAGGAATGGTAACATTACGAGACCCATCAGTCCAAGTGAAACTACCAAAGATAAAACCAGTGTTACTCTTATGACTTGACGAAACCCTAACTTTAAACCCAAGTTTCTTCGTGTTCGAACAGAACACCAGAGTCTCTGGTTCAACAACAATTTTTACACCTTGAGGAGGCTCCACCACGGCTTTATAAACCGAATTCACAGGTCCAACGTTGGTTACCGTTCTCGTGACGGTCACTTCTTCTTCAAGGTCGGTAATCGTGATGGCCGGGTAGTTAAGATCGAGTATAGATGGTAACGGAGACGAGCATTTCGTGGGTTTTCCGACAAGTGTAGTGATTGCTGTCTCGTTGTAACCAGAGGCGCAGAAAAAGTCAATGTAATCGTCTACATTCATGTCATAAACTAGTCCCGGATCTTTGGCTCTTTCTATGTTCACGAGTCCTGCGCCGTAGTCAAATGGATCAGCCAGTTTCCGTGGTTCTCCCTCCGCAAAGATAGGTTCCCCGGATGGATCGGTCGTCCATGCTATAATAACAGCAAAACCAACATCACAGCCTCTGTCAGATTAGATTAGCGAATGGTGGTTGAGGAGAAAAAGGTTTTTGATTTCAAGAACCTGTAGTCATAATAGCTGATTTAAGCGCGGCAGGAGACCAGTCAGGGTGTAATGCTTTTAAGAGTACGACGAGCCCCGCAACAGCGGGAGTGGCATAGGATGTTCCCGAACCTAGGGTATATCCGCCGAAAGAATCGGGGAAGGCTTCAGAGGTAGCTGCTAAAATCGTCACACCGGGGGCTGCTATATCAGGCTGCATCATTTATTAATTTTTTGCCAAAAGAAAATTCTGTCACTAAAAGAAATCCTTGGATACGATAAGACAGACAAGATTTCAAAACACTGTTTCAAGAAAGAACCTTGAGAATGGCTGGAGACTCTGAATTAGGCCCTCTAGATGAAAATCCGCAAACTTTAGTCGCAATAGGACGTCCCACAAGCGTTTTACCAGTACTAATTTTAACAGTTGGAGAACTGAAGAGACCACAAGCCATAAGAAAATGATCAGTTTAACATTCTATGTGACTCGCAAGGATACATCACTAAAAATACAAAATAAAGGATATATACTTTGTCGAGCGGATGTATCGTAGAATCTTAGCTCCAACTTCATAGTCTACGTAGACGTATGGTTCTTCATACAGAGCATCACTTTGATGATCAGAACTGCGTGCCACGATCAGCCCCAAGGCTTTGTTGTTGGTTGCAGCCAGCAATGCGTCTGTCATTTCCCAATCTTCTTTCACAAAAGTTAGGATAACTTTTCCGGGCATGCTAGAGGTCACATTTCTATAGTCTTCGACGTAAACTAAACCAGCAGATAATTCTTTACCTGTATATTGAGATTGACCCTGAAACATTTTTACAGGAAAAGAGTAAGTTTCCAAGACTGTTGGAACCCGGTGAAAAGACCTGAAAGAACATTTTACATACTATTATGGTAACGTTATTTCCAAATGTCAAGTCCACATAAAAGGTACGGTCTATGCTAGTTGCAGCGACTGTGAGCAACCACGGAGCTACATTAGCCACAGTGTAAGCATCAGGGCCTGAATTAGCAGCACCAGCTATAACCGGAATGCCCTTCATCACAGCATGGAACGATCCAACCGATATATCTCCCCCTATCTCTCCCGAAGTAGGTTCATATGGGCGAAAAGGAACCCCAGAGCCTATTGAAATCGACAATACATCAACGCCATCGTTTATGGCCTCATCAAATGCCTTGAGCAGATGCACAGGGGATGACCCATAAAGTTCTCTATCCCAAACAACTTTGTACATAGCTATACGAGCCTTTGGAGCAGCGCCTCTCATGACTCCGGGTGCAAGACCAGCATATGAAGCGTTACGCACGAATGAAGATGCTGCAATTGAAGAGACTACCGTCCCATGTCCAATTAAACCTCTAGCGGACATAAATTCTTCCTCGCTGATTGAGGTCCCAGGAAATAACTCATCCCAGCCATCAGTGTAGTACCTTGCTCCTACTAACTTCTTGTTGCAATGCTTTGCTGGGTCAAAACCCTCTCCGGCTACACACTTTCCCTTCCAATGTTTTGGTATCGGTCCAAGCCCTTCATCGTTAAAAGCCGGAGACTCTGGCCATATTCCAGAGTCAATCAAACCAATGACAAGATCACTTCCCATGTTGCTCTCATGGAGAATTCCTTTGGGCAAACTCGGCGAAAGACCCAAATAATCATAAACCCTAGTGCTCTGCAACTGAAGCATTCGATTTGGCGTGACACTGAAAACATCAGGACGGTCTGGGTATGACATGAAACAAAACCCATAGAAAATGTGTCAGAAAAATGCGTATAACAAGTCTTTCACAAGACCTCTTTCAATAATTTTACTGGTTTCATATACTCAAAAGCAGAACCTGAAAGTTGTTTAGCTTGTGAGTCTGTAAGGCTGGCTGCAAACCCGGAGAACCCATGGTGATAGTTGTAGATGATGGACTCTCGAGCAGCTTCCGGGCTTCATCATCAGTATAGAATCAAACAACACAATCATTATTCATTAGCTCAAAAACCATGAGCCATCATCAGGAAAGCAAAATCAAGAACTCTGTTTCTATCATATACCTTTCGAAAACCGATTCCAACATCCTATGGTGTGAGTCTGAGACCAACTCAGGATCATCATGTCGCCTCGCACCTAAATGAACTATATATACCTACCTCAACCAGAAACAAACAGAAAAACAAATGTTTCGTCCATCAATCACAATATGACCAAACATAACAGAACAAGGAAGTAGCACATAAGAATAAACCCAGAGACCAATTTATACATACCTTTCTCTTCTCATTGCTGCTTTCTTGAGCAAACACACAAAACCCACAATTTAAAATGTACAAGAATACAACAAAGAGACAAGCTTTGGATCTTCCCTTCAGAACTCCCATGTTCTTTGGGGGAAGAAAAGCTTTGTCTTTTTTAAGTTTTGTTTATTGGTTTACATTTTGATTCTTTAATAGTCTTCTTCAAAAACTTACAGAACAACAAACAAACATGAATAGCTAGCTGGTGGTTTTGCTCACAATAAACAATCACCAAAAACTAATTATAAATAGAAAATACAAAAAAAAAAAAAAATTAATCAAACGAACAAAACTAATGTGGGTAATGTCCAAATAGATTTAAACGAGACAACTCTAATTTTGACATAAGACAGTTTTATCAGTTTGCTATGCCGTTCCTGTTAAATTTGGGGTTTTACTTAAAACACACATCTCTCTCTCTCTGTTATTTTTATTCATTAGCATTTCTAATTTCTATTTATGGATAAGATTATAATGACAAACGATAGATTTAGAAAAATCATTTTTTTCAGATGATCTAGAAATCTAATTCGAATGGCTAGGAACTAGCAATTACACTATTTCGGTTTCCTACGAACAATGAACATGATCGTAAATTAGGTTATAAATCACATTCAAATGGATAGGAACTGGCAATTACACAATGAGAGCTTACTATCAAGTATGAACAAGATGTCAAAATTAGGTTAGGTTCGCAATTATTTCAATCAAAAAATGGAAAGCAAAAAAAATAAAAACAGAGAAGATAGAGAGAAGCCTTAGGTTAATGATGGAGTTTGCTGGAATAGAAAAAAAGGTTAATGATGATCAACGAGGAAGACAAGATTAGCATTTGCAGTATCTCTTTCGTCTATATCGCTCTGCTTCTTCAATTAGAAAAAAAACATCACATCTCTCATTTTTTTTCTTTTTTAAGAATAAACCCCAAAATATTAAATATTAGAATTTTTTTTTCTTTTTCTTTCAACAATTATTAGAACTAGTTGACTCTCACAATATAGAGTTAATAATTAACAGAATGAGTAGAAAGATAAAAATTTGAGAAAAAATATTATTAACTTTCAATATAGTGTTGAAGACATTAAACTTTTTTCAACTATCGGGTAATTTATTAAAACAATTTACAGGAAAAAATTTGGGATGAAACGAGTCCTTAGAGAGACTGGGATTGTGACATTGTGAACTCCATCACTCCAAGTCAAACTCCCGAAGTAAAACGCAGTGTTCACTCTGTGTGAGCCCGGAGACACACTCACTGTAAACGCGTTCTTCTTGGTTCCTTTGTTAAACACTAACTTCTCCGGCGAAACCACCACACTGAATCCGGATGGGGCCTCGATCACGGGCCTATAAACCGAATCGACAGGTCCAACGTTGGTCAAGGTTCTGGTCACTGTGATGTTTTCGCTGAGGTCTGGGATTGTAATGGATGGTACGTTGAGGTCAAGAATAGATGAACATGAGCTCGGGCACTTTTTAGTGACGTTTCCGGTTAGAGCAGAAACCTTCTTGTCTGTGTAGAGAGCTTGGGAACATAAGTAATGTATGTAATCGTTGATGTCCATGTCGTATACAAGACCAGGATCTGTGGCTTTCTCCACATTCACAAGACCTCCTCCGTAATCGAATGCATCGGCTACCTTATGGTTACCTCCATCTACAGTCAGACGCTCGCCATATGGATCCGTTTTCATGGCTAAGCACAAATAGGATAAGATATTCCTGATTAAATGCAGAGTTCTTAATGAGAAAAGAGTTTTGAAGAGACATAAACAAAACCTGTTGTGGCAAGAGCTGATTTGATTGCAGCAGGAGACCAATTAGGATGCGAAATCTTGAGGAGTGCTACGATTCCTGCAATAACCGGGGTTGCCATCGATGTTCCTGAGTAAACGAATTCACTGGTGTCTTCATTTGTTGGTATTCTAGGTGTTAGTAAGGTCACACCCGGGGCTGCTATATCCGGCTGCATTACACAGAAATATTTAAGTCGACGAGTAAAACAGTAGATTTAGTGATCCGGAATAAGAGATGAAGGAAACAAAACCTTAAGAATGGCAGGTGAAAATGAACTAGGCCCTCTCGCTGATGACTTAGCAACTTTAGTTGCTACACTTTCGCCAATTATTGTCTTGTGTGGGCTTATCTTAATTTTCAGTGAGCTGCAAGAAAACAACAATTTAGTTTCTCATATGAAGAAGATGAGATATTAATTTGACTGAGCAATGTTTCTGAAGATAGATAACCTCGTAGTTTGGATGTTGAAATATAACTCGGATCCAACTTCCAAATCCATGTAGATACAGGGAAAGTTTACAGGACATTCAACTCTATTATCACTTGGATTTCTCACATCAATTAGACCGATACCACCATTTTTCTGAACAACATCCGGCGTCAATGGAGTCACGGGACCCATCGAGAAGTGCATTACAACTTTACCCTTTGTAATTTGATCAAGATTACTATGATCATTTGTACTAATCACTTCAGTGAAGCCAATTTCTGGTCCTGTGTACAGGCTCTGACCCTGAAATACAGGTCATGAAAAGGAAACTTTACTATCAATCACAAGTTTTGCAATGTTAGAGATTCAGAAGTTAAAAGTTGTACCAGAAATGTTTTATTGTTCTCGAGTGTAATCAATGTGGGGAAAGACCGGTCGAGGGTAGTCGCAGCCACAGTTAAAATCCATGGAGAAACGTTAACAACCGATGAAAAGCGGGATCCTCCATTACCAGCTGGAGAAACAACAGGAATACCTTTATTCACGGCGTGTAGTGCTGGAATAGCAATGTCGATTTCAACATCAAGAGATTTCAGTGCTGAGCCACCAATAGAAACTGACAAAACATCAACACCATCGTGAATGGCTTCGTCAAAAGCTTTCCAAACATCCGCAACTGAGCACATCCCTCCTTCCACATCCCAACATGCTTTATACATAGCTATATGCGCTTTTGGAGCGCCACCTCTCATGATTGACCCAGATGGGAGACCAGGCAAAGTCATATTAGAAACGAAGGAACCAGCTACCGTTGATGATACTTGAGTCCCGTGGCCATTACGATCTCTAGGAGATAGATATTCTGTAGTACTGTTGATGCTTGTTTTGAGATCCGCATTAAGACCATCAATGTAGTATTTAGCTCCAATAAGCTTTCTGTTGCAATCTGCAGGACTGAACTGGTCTGCAGATACGCATTTTCCTTTCCAACGCTTTGGTATTGGCCCATATACATCGTCGTCAAAGGCGCCTGATTCTGACCATATCCCTGCTCATATAATGCGATTTGTTACGTTCTCTTTAGAAAAGTTGAGATCAAAACAAATTGATAGAGAGATTGATGTAATACCAGAGTCGATAACGCCAATAATGGCACCATTGCCCATGTTGGTCTCAAATAGAAGACCTTTAGAAGAAGTTGGAGTTGAAAATTGGCCTAAGTAATCCCATGTCCGTGTCGTTTGCATCACAAGTTTTCGGTTCTCCAGAAGGATAATAACTTCAGGATGACCTAGTAGAAATAAATAAAATGATTTAGTAAAAACAAATTCTGAGGTTTGGAACATTAAGAACTCACGAACAAGCGAGATATATATAATAAAGAACAATACTTTTCAATTTTTCTGCCTCGGCTGGTTTGAGCTTGGCTGCAAACCCAGAAAATCCATGGTGATAACTGTAGACCATTGACTTCTTGGCTGCTTCTTCGCTGTAATACAAGATTCAAACAAGAAAATTAGTTCAGTTTGAACTACCTCAGAAGGTAAGTTATACACCGAAAAATCTTCAATGCAACCAGTCTTTTACCTTCCAAGAACCGATTTCAGGATTTGAAGATGTGACTGAGTCACCAACATAGGATCATCGTGTTTCCTTTCCCCCAAATAGAATATAAAAACCTATTATTATCAGAAAACCAATGCATACATGAGAAATTACAACAACAAAAAGTTCCTCACATATTTAAAACAATTGGACTACATACCGGGAACTCAGGGACAAATGGAGGCACAGGCTTATAAGGTACAAACTCATCGTCCATATCAGACATAGCAGGAGGAGCAGCCTCTGGAGAGAAGGCCAAATATGATGCCTGAGGAGGATCCGCCTCGCGGGGTGTTGTTCCAGAGCTAAGCTTTCCATTTGTTATAAACACAAACCCAAAAGCTATAGCAGCAAAACACAATCTAAAAGAACTATCCATTTTCAGAAATCTTTTCATTTTTCAACAAAAGTGTTAGTTCTCCAAGATTTCCCTTGTGTTTATTGATAGATCCCCATTGTTTTAAACTAATCTGTTAAACAAACTTCGGCTCCATAAATTGACAGAACAACCAATTAACACACATACTAATTGTATCTTTCAGTAAATAAACGTTGTAACTACTAACAAGCAAAATGAAAATGGGTGTTATTGGCATATGACAGTTAGGCACAAGCTATATTTAGAATATACTTATGATAACTACAGTTAACAATAGATACAAAAAATATACATTGAAATGTGTTGGGTTGGCAGAGGGAGAACATCAGAACACAAAAATTCTTTCATGGTGAAATTAAAACCTAAATGTTGATAGATAAGAATGGCACCTAGTTAAATTAGGTCACTGGTTATGGCTGGTAGAACTTTATGATTCTATATATATCAAAAGATTTTACAGAGAAGTTTCAGCCAAAATAGTAAAAGGCATGGGAACAAAATTGATGTCTTGGATTCACAGCTTAAACATAAAGGATACTGAATTATTTTATTGCTTAAGACAAACAAGAACAGAAAAGCCTTGTGTTTTACTTCACTAGGTTGTATACATTATGAGAGACTTAGCCTAGGAAGATCGACCAATATATTGTGAGATCATCGAATGATCAGTGATCACATTATTCTCATTAACATTTGCTTTCTTACACCACTAAAGAAGCACAAAACATTAAACCCATACGACATAATACATAAGAATTCACACAGTTTTAGACGCAATGAAAAAGCTACTGCTTTAAAACAAGAAGTAGGAGGAACCGAGAACAGACTGGTGATCTTTACCCAGATGACGACCACGGAGGCACTCTAGATCCATAATCTGAGAATGATCCACATAGAGATTCACCTGAAAAAACCAAGAAGAATAGACACAAATCTTGTGAGGCTAACTATTGAAACAGAATGTAAAAATAATGGAGAGAAGTATCAGAAAATACGTTTGGACCATAACGTTTGATGAACCACTCAGCCAACTTCGCATCAGATGCTTCGAACATAGTCTTCTCTATTCCCAAACGTCCTATGACTTTAGCAATTATGTCTGCTCGAAGAGAATCTGCGTATTTGCAGACATCATCTGCATCAATCATAATAGTGTCTGCCCCGGCTTCTAAACACCTTTCAGCCTTTCTGATCAAGAGGTCTATATCCTCAACAAACTCTGTGAAACAAAGTATTCACTCAGTAAGCATCTAAATCTTAACTCTCAGTCTCTCACTGCTCATCCAATGAAGAACTCCTGAGTTTCTTACCGCTTGATCGAGGTTCTGGAACAACATAAGAGCCAAATGCTCTATTCCTACCAGGAATATCAGACTTGTTAAATTTCACAGCAAATATTGGTTTGGCTCTGAGACCACCACTCTTAATCAGACGTACATATCGTAGAAGGGTTTCTTCAGGAACTTCAAGTAAATTTGCATTCAGCTCTATAGTGTCAAACCCCAACTGCTTACACTCCTAATCCAAAAAAAAAAAAAAAACACTAAAAATCACAAAAACCTAATTCTTCTCCAATACCAAACATGTCATCTTCCAAAAACACCTTTACCTCCACATAGTCTTTGAAAGCTGAAGGACCACTCCGAAGCATGTGTTCAGCCCAATCTCCGGTGCTAACATACACACCGTGTTCATGAGCCATTTCAATAGCTTGTTTGATGAATGATTTCGGAATTAAACTGTTGGATCCTCCCGAGAACTTTAACCCATCAACAAATTGTCCCATCGATTCAAATATTTCCTAAAACAACAACACGATTAACCAACCATAAGAGCCTAATAGCTATTCGTGTTTAATCTCAAGTCAAATCGTAAAAATCACGACCGGAACAATTAACGGTAAGGTACCTGTAGAAGGTTCTGGCTGAGGACGGAGTAACGAGGACCTCGCATCTCCGTTACACCGTAACGGCGTGGCTTCTCCGGACGATCTTCGTTCTCCTCGAAGCTCTTCCATCTGTAGTACGCCGCCATTTTCTCTGTTCACCTCTTCTTCTTCTTCTTCTTCCTGAAAATTCGAACTCTCGAAACATTTCTCGAAGTTTTTTAAAAAGAAACACAAAATAAGCAAGTCGAAGAATGGAGCTGCTTCTAGAGAAATGTGACACGTCATCAACGCCTCTCCTCGTCGTCTTCATGCTTTTTTGCCAAGTACTCTTCTCAAAGTTGCCACGTCAACAATGACAACGAGGACGCGATTATGGATAATTATGTTCGCCTTTCGGCCCATTTTAAATATATTGGGCCACAAAGAATGGAAAACGCAAATTTGGGAAAATCGAAGCTTTCGTTTTACAGCGTTTCAAACCGCAGACGTTCTCATCTTCTTTGCTTGGCTTCTCTGTCCAAGAATACGAATATTAGAAAGGTTATATAACATGGAAGGGTTGGAATAAAGAATACATACAAATTAAGCAATTCCACTGAAATACAGTATGATTTTGCGTATGAATAATACGTTTAATTAATGCCATTATTTGTCCTTCAAAATGTTGTAAAAGTTGAATACATCTCTGATGAAAAAAGAGAGCTTTACATAATTACATGAAGGATCACAGCTAAACTTTATTCTCTTTAACATGATCTTTAGTAAAAATGCAAGAAAGGAGACTTATGTTCAACTTTATTCTTATTCCATCCAACCAAGAGAGTCTCTCAAATCTTAAAGCTTACAATTCTAATTGCCTATAAATACAAGAACATGTTATTACTTCAGCAATAATCACCGCTGCTTCTTTGTTTGCTGGTAAGAACTTGTTTCATACACAATGGCAAGGAATGTGGGGTTCTTTATCTGCATCTTGATCCTAGCCATGGATGTTTCAGCTGGAATTCTCGGTATTGAAGCCGAAATAGCTCAGAACAAGGTACATTAGGCACACCCACTAGTCTGATCAGAGTTGCGAATTTCACTTATTTTTTTGGGTGCAGGTGAAGCATTTGAAGATGTGGATTTTCGAGTGTAGAGACCCGAGTTACACAGCCTTCAAGTATGGTTTAGCTGCATGCATCCTTTTGGCGGTAGCCCATGTAACGGCTAACTTGCTCGGTGGGTGTCTCTGTGTTGTCTCAAGACAAGACCTTGAAAAGTCCTCCGCCAATAAACAGCTCGCCGTGGCTTCTCTGATATTCTCCTGGTAAGTCAAAACACCACATAAACAGAACAACTGTGTAAATCTCTTGTGGTGAAGAAGGGTACTTGCATAAAGACTCATTTCAAGATCCATTTTTGTGTTTCACAGGATCATATTGGCAATTGCTTTCTCGATGTTGATCATAGGGACAATGGCAAACTCAAGATCGAGAAAAAATTGTGGGATATCGCACCATCGGGTTCTATCCATAGGAGGGATCCTCTGCTTCATTCACGGCCTTTTCGCTGTTGCTTATTACATCTCTGCAACTGCTTCAACACGAGAACAGACAAGCGCAATCCATGCTTGAAAAATTTTCTACCCGCCTTTTTTCTTTCTTTAAATTTAACCTAATGTTTAAATTTGACTAAAAGATATATACCTGGTTTACTATACTTTGTCTGGATCTCTCATTCCTTTCTCAATAGCGGAATTGAGTTTTTTTTTGGTTGACTCCGGGTGCAAAGGAAGATAAGGCTGTGGAATATATCCTTCCAGCCTCAGCTCTTCGAGAAGCAAATTTACCAAAGAATAGATATGTGACGAATTGGGATGATTTACATCGCCTGAAACAAACAAATGAGTTACTTTGTTGATTTCTACCCAACTATAACCCGGAATTTTCTGAACTCCTCTCTCTTTCATTAAGCTCCGTACTTTAGTCACTCCACCCCACTCTGCGGCATTAGCATGTGCATTCGAAATTAACACATAGTAACCAGAATTCTGAGGATCCAAATCCATTAACCTGCTTGAAGCAACTTTGGCAAGGTCGACATCCTTGTGAAGCCGACATGCTCCAAGTAAAGTTCCCCAGACTCCTGCATCGGGAGAAAATGGCATGCTCTTAATAGTTTCATAAGCTTCATTTAATCGACCAGCTCGTCCAAAAAGATCCACAACACACGCATAATGCTCTTGCTGTGGTAGAATTCCATAATCTTCAGTCATGGATCTGAAGAAGTGGACTCCTTGATCAACATCTCCAACGTGACAACACGAAGATATTATCTCAAGAAATGTGATTTGATCAGGACAAATTCCGCTTTTTTCAACCATTTCACCAAATAAACGGAGGGAATCTTGTAGCTTCCCGTGGTTCCCATATGTAGCAATGATGCTATTCCACGAAACAATGTTCCTTTCTTTCATCATCTCAAAAACATTCATGGCAGATTTCAGGTTTCCACACTTAGCATACATATCTATCAATGTACTTTCGCTATATACATCAGAAGCATCTGAATGCTTTATCATGTAACCATGAATAGCTTTCCCATAACACTCCGAAGGTAAGTTTGCACAAGCAGAAATAGCAGCTGAAATACTAACACAATCAAAAGTGACTCCGGAAACTCCCATTTGACGGAAAATATCAATAGCCGCACTAGGATTATCGCTCTGTGAACAACGCGTGATCATGGAATTCCACGAAACAATATCCTTCTTAGAGAGTCTCCCAAACATTTCATAAGCAAGGTTCATTCTTCCACACTTAGCATACATGTCGATAACAGCGCATTCAACATTGCACCTGTTACTGAAACCTCTCTTGATTATGAAACCATGGAGTTCCCTCCCGATTTTCAATGCAACCAAACCACTAATTACCGGTAAAATAGACACCAAAGTTATCTCATTTGGACTCATTTTTTCCTTAACTAGCCACCTAAACATCCCTGCAGCATCAAGATACAAACCATTGTGCAAATACCCAGAGATCATTGCTGTGATCACTACAACATCAACTGAGTTACACTGACTGAAAATCTTTTGTGCCATCGAAACACCTCTACACTTAAAGTAGGCATCAATAAGAGCACTTGTTAAGAAGATATCCAGCGGTATGCTATGTCTCATAATATAACAATGAATTTGCCTACAATACTCAAGGTTTTCAAAGCTTGAAACTGATGGAAGCAAACTAGAGAATGTGATAGCATCAGGTAAGACACCTGAAGATATCATCTCACAGAAAAAAATTAAGCTTTCTTCCATTAGTCCACTCTGAACATATCCAGATATCATGCAATTCCATGTCACTGTATCAGTACGAGGCATCATCCGAAACAACTTAGATGCATCATCAAAACAACCACATTTAGAATACAAAGATAGAAGTGAGTTTGTGATAGAACCTTCAAAATCCAATCCAGAAACAACAGCTAGACCATGAAGCTGAACTCCGAGATCAATCAACGACTTAGAGGCACACACCGATAAAACGCAATCAAACGTAACAGCATTAGGACTAATCTGATCCATCCTCATTGCACTAAACCCTTTTATAACACTATCTAAAGCTCCACATTTTGCATAGCCATTAAGCATCACATTCCATATAACACAATCTTTCTGAAGAACTCTATCAAACAACTCACCCGCAACACTGATCTTTCCATACTCAAGATAAGCTTTGATCAAAGAACTCGCCACAAACTCATTACAATCCATCCCAAGAGAAGAGACTGTACCGCGAAGAAACTCAATCCCTTTAAAATTCTTCAAAGCAACACAAGCCTTAACGAGACAAGGAAACGTAGATACATCAGGACTAACTCCAAAACACAACATCTTGAAGTAAAACGACAAAGCCTGATTCAATAAACCATTTCGAACAAAACTGCTGATAATCGAATTCCACGGTCTGATGCTACTAAATCGTAAATCATGTCTGTAAAACATTTTCCCACAATCAGAAAAGCTAGCACACATTGCATACATCCCCAAGATCCTCTCATCGATGTGGCTATCACCAGAAACTCTGTTTACGATTAGAAAGGCGTGAACTTGCTGACCTTGTCGAAGCAGACTTTGATTAGAGCAAGCTTGTAAGAGTAATGTAAGTCGACGAGGGAGAGATTCTCTGAGAGATTGAGACGAATTTTTCACTGAAATGGATTTGTAAGGAACCATTGCTGGCGCCAAGCGCTTGGCGACTGTGGAGATACTCATAGCCCTTATTTAAAGACAGAGGCAAAGAGAAGATAGAAGAAAACAATTAAAGACTAGTCGAATTCGTCATCGGGGACTCACTGAGTCAGACGAATTGCCGACGGCGACGGTGAAGTAGCCGGAGAAAGGGGACGGGGGTTTATTGCAGACGAAGAACCACAAACACACATTATGGGCCTCTTGAGTCATCACTCAGGCCCAATTCAGGTTAAATTGCTGTCACATCGAATCAAGCTTGGTTTAATGATCGGACCCGGTTGGTGTTTCGGTTATTGTAATTTCGATTCGGTTTATAAACATGTCAATTTTTAATCGGATTATAGCTTGATTCGGTTTTGGACCTTGTTCACGAGATGGAGATCTCCAATAAAGTTTTTTTTGATCAATCTGCATATGTCGTACTTATTGAGGATGTGAGAACCGATTTCAAATATAGTGTAGAAGCATTCAAATAAACCAACGAGCTTCCAATTCCATGAATCGATTTCATTTAGTAGTAAACAATGTAAAGCTTCATCATTTCGTTTGGTAAATCACCATGCAAGCTACGTTAATGCATACTCAAGAAATTGCCACCTTTTTTTTAATAAAAGCGTGAAACATAAATTCAGATTCACGAATTTGAGTCTAAAGTACTCAGGGACAAAAATCATGAGATAAAAATTTACAAGAAAAATACAGAAATTTAAAATGCTTAACCAAGCTTGGCAAGAACTTCGTTCAAAGCAGAGACTGTCTCAGCATAGTACTTCTCAGCCTGAGGAGAACTCTTTTTCTTCGCCGCATAATCCAGCTGCCGGAGAATCAGCCATAAACAAACTTTTGATCAGACAAATAAAATAACATTACAGAACTTTTACAAGTGAGCTTAATTAATAGACTTGTCCTAAACCAAGAAACCATGAGGAAACCTAATGCTTACAAATGATCAACTAAATAGTCTGGAAACCCCATATAAGAAACCAAAGAAACCAATAGAAATTTATAAGATATAAGAATTTCAAATTATTATTTTTTCAAATATAATGAATATAATCAAAGTTAGATGAAGAAACTTACATTGTCGATGGTATCAAAGAGCTTCGTGGTGAGATCCTTGAGGGGCTTCTTCTCATCCTTGGGTTTGGAGGAGATGATTGTGTTAAGGTCATAACGAAGATAAGAAGCCTTGGAACGGAGATCGTTCTGAACATATGGCCAAGCTTTCTTTTCGATCAGTGACTTCACATTTATGATATCCTTGGCTGACTCTTTGGCTCTAGCTGCAGCTTCTGTTGGTGGCAATGGCTGTAAATAAAATCTGTTTTTCAATGCCAATGAAAAGTCTCTTGCTTGGTCTGAGTTATCTGTCCCAGCTGCTCATTAAAACAAAACACAATGTTGTCACCATAGAAAATATATATAACCATTAACCATCTTTAAGTGTTATCTATTATCTATGCTTATATTTCAGTTACTCTAAGCTACAAGTAACAAAAAGAGAACTAGAAAACCAAAACCAAAACCAAACCAATCTCAAATCAAGATTAAACATTATTCTTCTTCATTCCCACTCAGAACACATGCTTGATTATTATGAACTCTATCAATTCTTATATAAAAAATGATTAAGCAGCCACATTGTAACTTGAAGTTACTAACTTGTAAGCTTACAACAATGTATCATTTAAGATAAATTAAGCAAAGGTTGTTCATCTAGATTGCTTAACCTAAATTACGTTTCCTAATCTCATAAGTCATAACAAAAATGAGAAAGGTAATCGTTTTGAAAGATTAAATAGTTAACTTACGAAGACCACCGGAAGGAGGTGGAGGAGGGCCAACTTTGATCGGATTAGCATCAGCAAGGACAGCCTGAACAAACGATCCTCCGACTAAACCAGCAGCCACAAGTCCAATCACAGATCGACGAGAAGTCTCCTCACTCTGCTGAGCTCTGACCACAAGTCTAGACCTTTGAGCCACCGACACTCTTCCGGTGACGTTCATCAGACGGCTCGAGCCGTTGATCTTGCTTCCTTCAAGAACAGCCGGTGACGCACCACGTAATCCACCCATTGAAGCCATTTTTTTTATCTTTCTGAAGACGAAAATTGAACGCAATGATGATTGGCTATAACGCTTATATGGTTGGGTAAGCTTCAGTCTCCGACACAGAGCGCCTTATCTGCACTTTAGATAATTTGGATATGGTTTTAACCACTGATGTTAAGCCATGTGTCATCTTGGTTCTTTTGTTCGGCCTAAAAGCCACGTGGCAAGAAGGACATTTGAATATTTTGGGCCGGTTACTTTAGTTTACAGGCCTTAAGCCCATAATACTTTTCTTTTATTTTGCTAAATAATTTGTGTTAAAAATAGCGAAAGAAGGAAATGAGAATATCGTTATAATAATTCCAAAAGTCCGCCACATCTAATTTCAAAATCGTTTCGAATTTCAAAACTACAGGCTCCTGCTTCAGTCTCTCACACACAAACACACAAAAAATCCCCAAATTAGGAAAAAGCAAGAACCCTAGATCCTCGTCTTCGATTGAGAAGTTGGCAGTCTGTTTCTCTGAGAATCAATCGGAGACTGCTGCTAGAGGACACTGCGTCATTAAATCGAATTTTGGGAGAAGACTCCGATTTGGAATTTGTATGCGATTGACGAGAGAGGAAGGAGACGAGATCTGTAAGAAATTTTGATTCTCGGAGATGGCTTCTCGCAACCAGAATCGTCCTCCTCGTAGTCCTAACACTGTAAGCCCCTTTTTTTAGTTATTCGCAACTATGTTTCGTTGTCATTTTTGTGTGTTCTGGAGATGGGTTGGTGAAAAACCCCTAGAAATTGGTTGATTGGTCATTTGAATTACTAGTTTCGTATTTAGGGTGTTGTTCAGTTGACCAGATGAAACTATTATGGTCTTATTCTCATCGGCTTTGACATTTCTTATCGAGAAATTTAGGGTAGTTGTGGTGGGTTCTGGGATTCTACTTTTCCTGTAGCTGAATATGAGTCTCCTTACAAAATTGATGTAACATATGTGGCTTTACTTGCTTTGTGTATGATTTATGTTTGATGATTTGGTCTCATTTCAGAAAAAGGAGGGTCGCAATGGTATTCCATTTGACAAGCGAAGGAAAGTGGAAGCGCAAGGGACTGGGAGAAGACAAGCGTTTTCTTCTGTGAACAAACAAGATATCACGACGAACAGTGATGTTGGCAGCACAGAAGACTTTGGTAAAGTAGAGTTTACCAAAGATGAAGTCTTGGCTTTGCTAAGTGAGAGAGCAAAAGCTGGGAAGTTTGATACGAAGGTTTATTAACTAGTTAAAACTTGCTCTATGCTCTTAAACATTGTAGATGTTTTCTTCTGTGGTTTCACTAAGAAGATCTTTTTTTTTTTCTCTGTCCCTACAGGCTAAGATTGAGCAATTGACAGATATTATCAAGAGACTGAAGGGTTGTGTGAAATGGTACCAACAAGCTGACGAAACTCATGTCCAAGACAAGGAAAATTTGAAGGTTTCTCTAGAATCTGCTGAACAAAAATACAACCACAAAGGTGATTTTCTTTCTTGTGATTCCTTTACATGAAACAAGTTGTTCACGGATTTGATTGTAGTCCTTAACTGTTAAATTTTTTATAGAGTTGGAGGCTAAGACAAAGGAAGAAGAGCTACAGGCCACTATATCAATTTTAGAAGAGCATGTAGAGTCACTACATGACAAGCTTGCAAAGGAGGAGTCTAGTAAACAGGCAAGGCATCTTTTTTCTCCTTGCGAACGTTTTCCCTTAATACAAATCTTATATAGAGTTTGCTTGCCTCTTGCTTCTTGGGCACTAGGATGCCATTGAATGCCATAGAAGAGAAAAAGAATCTAGAGTTGCAGCTGAGAAAGTGCAGGCTTCTCTCAGAGAAGAACTTGATAAAGTTAAAGAAGAGAAAATGACTGCCCAGCAGAAGGTATATAACATATGTCTTCAGTTATCTTCTTTAGGTGTTTCATTTCTATGTCTCGTGTTAGTTTCACATGAACTGTTAGTTACCAAGGAAAATTGGTTGTTTTATATTTGTAGGTCACGTCACTTGAGGATATGTACAAAAGGCTGCAAGAGTATAACACAAGTTTGCAACAATATAACAGCAAACTGCAGACTGATCTTGAAACAGTTCGAGCTGCACTCACACGTGCTGACAAAGAGAAGTCAAGCATCCTGGAGAATCTTAGTACACTAAGGGGTCACAGCAAGTCGCTGCAGGATCAATTAGCTTCAAGCAGAGTAAGTTTCTCTTTTCTACCACTGGCCTTATATTCCCATGCCTAATTAATTGGTTTCATTTTTTCTTAATTTGTTCCTCTTCCGTTTTTGCATTCAAGGTTTTGCAAGATGACGCTATAAAACAGAAGGATTCATTGCTTTCGGAAGTTACTAATCTTCGGAATGAGCTCCAACAAGTAAGGGATGATCGTGATCGCCAAGTTGAACAGTCACGGAAGCTAACTGAGGAAATCGGAAAGTACCAGGAGAATGTTGGGAAGTCATCTCAAGAGCTAGACATCTTAATAATGAAATCAGGATCGTTGGAGGTACTTTTTCGAAGTATTGGATGTCAGTTAAAAGTTGCATCTCGAATTCTTACCTCATATTTGGTTAGCTGACATTTCAATTTTAATCCTTCAGGAAACATGTTCATTGCAAAAGGAGCGAATAAGAATGCTAGAGCAACAATTAGCAATCGCCAATGAAAAACAAAAGGTAGGGGGATTATCAAGTTTATATCGGAAGTTAATGAAGTGCATTACCATCAGATACTCTTTGTTTCAAATAGCTTCTTTGATAGATATTTGTAACTGTGAATACAGATGGCAGATGCATCAGTATCTCTTACTAGAACAGAGTTTGAGGAGCAGAAGCATCTACTATGTGAATTACAAGACCGCCTTGCAGACAGGGAACATCAGCTGTGCGAGGGAGAGTTATTGCGGAAGAAGCTTCATAACACCATTCTGGTAAGAAAATGTTTCTTTTGGTACGATTTTATATGTGGCAGTCTTGATATGAGCTAAGAGAAGTTGTAAACTCAGGAACTAAAAGGAAATATACGGGTGTTCTGCCGAGTGCGTCCCTTGTTACCAGATGATGGAGGACGACATGAAGCAACTGTGATAGCCTATCCTACTTCAACAGAAGCTCGAGGAAGAAGTGTTGATTTGGTTCAGAGTGGTATGACTATAGCCTGACTTGAATTTTTTTTTTTTTTTTTGGTACAGATGACTATTCCCACATTAAACCTTTTTTTCCTGCCTCTTGTTATCCTATATGTCATCAGGGAACAAACATCCTTTCACCTTTGACAAAGTTTTCAATCACGAAGCTTCCCAGGAGGAAGTATTCTTTGAAATATCTCAACTTGTGCAGAGTGCATTGGATGGATATAAGGTCTATTCTCTTCATTAATTTATTTATTATGGATATACTTGCTATGTTAATAATTTGCTAGTTAAAGGAACTCGTTTGAAGTTGGAGTATTTTGTAGATGTATTTTGTAGATGTAACTCCTTTTTTCAGTGTCAAATTTGAAGACAGGTTCTATTACTGATGCCTTTATTTTAAATATTTTGTGATACAGGTTTGTATCTTTGCCTATGGTCAGACAGGTTCTGGAAAGACTTACACCATGATGGGCAGGCCTGAGACGCCAGAGCAGAAAGGGCTGATCCCGCGATCACTTGAACAGATATTCCAAGCCAGCCAATCACTCGGTGCACAAGGCTGGAAGTACAAAATGCAGGTGTACATTTCAGGCCATATTGCTTCTTGATTTTACTGGCATCACCTTTTTCCCAACTTTATTTTTTGGATTTCAAAATTTTCTTTAAAATGTAGGTATCTATGTTGGAAATATATAATGAGACCATCAGAGATTTGCTCTCTTCAAATCGACCAACATCTCTGGAATTGGTGCGAGCAGACACTGGCACCTCAGGAAAGCAATACACAATCACACATGACGTAAATGGACACACCCATGTCAGCGACTTGACAATATTTGATGTATGCAGCATTGGAAAGATATCCTCTCTCTTGCAGCAGGCTGGTCAGAGCAGGTATTGCCTTGGAACTTTTATAATGATTTCTGGCCTGTTTTGCTAAGCCACGGAGTATGAGAATATAGTAATAGTCTTGTTCTTGTAGGCATACATGGTAATTGAAATTTGACTTTCTTGAATGCATAACGTAACAAATAAATAACTCTGTATCAGTTAAACTAAACATGGAGTGGATTCTCTTTATGCAGGTCAGTAGGTAAGACTCAAATGAATGAGCAATCATCTAGAAGTCACTTTGTGTTTACCATGCGGATTTCAGGTGTTAATGAGGTAATAATTTCTTTGCCATCTGGAATTGGTTCTTGCATTATAGACTTTCTTTCCTACTTTGAAATCCTTTATTTATCAACACATCTCTCCTCTTTCAGAGCACTGAACAGCAGGTACAAGGTGTTCTCAATCTAATCGATCTTGCTGGAAGCGAGAGGCTATCAAAGAGTGGGGCAACTGGAGACCGATTAAAGGAGACACAGGTTTTTTGCTGCTTCCAAACATAAGTTTTTCCAAGCTATTAGCTTCAGCAAATCGGTACTGATCTTTGTTTTGGACTACCACAGGCTATAAACAAAAGCTTATCAGCTCTGAGTGATGTTATATTTGCACTGGCTAAGAAAGAAGATCATGTACCTTTTAGAAACTCGAAGTTAACTTATCTGCTCCAGGTTTGTTTTCGTTGTTTATAACATTTGTGTCTACATGAATTTTTAAAATGTTGTTGTAGATTAAGTAACAATGATGTATCTTTGAACAGCCTTGCTTAGGGGGAGATTCGAAAACCTTGATGTTCGTAAACATTTCCCCTGACCCATCTTCTGCTGGAGAGTCTCTTTGTTCTCTTCGGTTTGCTGCAAGGGTGAACGCATGTGAAATTGGTATACCTAGGAGACAAACTTCACAAAAGCTCCTTGACTCTCGCCTAAGCTACGGCTAAAACAGTTCAAAAATATCTGCCTAGTAGTAATTCACAGCTCTTCTCTTGTGGGTTTTTGAC